TATATCATTCGAGATGAATGGTTGTTGCTCCTTGTTCATCCAGATTTTCGATACTTGACATCTGCTGGAAATATGGCGGTTTTGGGTCATCGGGCGTCGAGTCAATTGATATTCGTAAGATTCAACTTCAATCATCTCAAGTCCCATGGGAGTAGGTTCAGAATCGATGAATTTATAAACGGAAACCAAATCAAAATCTTCGATCGGCTAAACTCCAGGACTAGTACTATGTCACATCACCGCTCCTAAGGGAAGATGTTCTTATATATACTCGAAATATAGTACACGGTGTCACGATGCAAACCTAAGTTCAAGGGAAATGCTCTATCGTTGCGTGAAGGTAACGCGATCTTAGAGGGGGCATTTACCTACTAGCTTCCTAATACCTGGGTAGTGGGTTGAAACTTATCTATATCATGGAGGCTCCCTAACATGCTAGACCGCCACCTTCATGGAGACTTTAAGATGGAAGAAAGGATTTGGGCGAGATCATAATCTACTAGCATTGAATTAGGTACCCCTATACCTTAGATACCCACTTCTCATCAGAAGAAGTACGGTTTTCCCGTTTTGTTACATTGTCTCATATAACAGTAACCCAAACGGTCTCATTATCATCCTCCACAGTCACCTTTGAGCCGCCGACAGCTAGATCGACGGCATCACTCTCCTCCATTCCTTGTACCTCTATATCCTGCTCCTCTTGGTCATATTGTCCAAGAACACCGCCTTCCACATCATCCTCGTCCTCGATCTCAAATTTCCGGTTGACAATAATTTTTCTAATCCGGAAAGCGAACACGAAATTCGTAGATCCGTCAAACTTGAGCGTGTCCTCAATCTTCGATGAGAAGTTCAACCCTGGTCCCAAGACGGCCGGTGTTCCAGCAGGGGTCGCGTTGACAGAGAATTCCATGTCTGTCGACACATTCTTCCTCGCTAGTTCCTTCACTGTACTACCGCTTACAGTCTTGGTTCCGACAACAATGTAGACGTGTTTCTCGAAATCGAATCTTTCTAGATACTTCTTGACGGGGTCCATCTTAACCATCTTCTCGACGTACTCCCTACTTGGATACGCCTCCCTTGTATGTATATTTTCGAACGTATATAGGTCGTGGATCGATTTCACACGTTCGTGACCGAGATTGAGCCCGACGCCAACAAGTCGGTCGAGAAACGTCGCCCACACGCCGAGCTTCTTCCCATTTTCGCGCTCGCGAATCCATTTGAAATCATATTTAGTCGACTTTCCGACGTCTTCATCATTTGGTGTAACTATCGGGGGCAGGAAGGGTGGCATTACTTCACTTCTGCCTTATACTTTCATATGCTTGGGCAGTAATCGTAGGGCGCGACTGTCCACCCTACCACCCTCTCATGTAGGCTGAATAGCACTGCCACCACCACACACTCTAGACGCAGAGGTTACACGACCGACTAGGCCCATCTCAACTAACTAGTATAGAAATGCCAGGCTGCCCGCCCGCGACCATGGAGACAGAGATAGACTCCCATCCCACACAACACCTTCGGCCATGCGAGCGCTGCGTACCTACCAGTCATGGCATCCTTCGGTCAACTAACAAATGCTTTTATAAAAGCATCTCAAGAAACTACTTTGGCCTTCGCGAATTTTAACTTTGATTTTTCAATTGTCAAATATGACGCCCCAGCAGAGTACAATGGACTTGGCAATACATTATCGAAGCGCCGCAAACAGGTCGCCGAGGACGGCCCTGTTCACGTCACTGCGCGAAAGCTGAATGCTCTTTTTAGAGGCGTAATACCACAATGCCCAAACCTGATCCAAGCTTACGGGCTTCGAGCAAGTCAAATTGCAAGCCTCCCAGACGTCAATCCGCAGGGCTTAGCAATGCAGGGAGTATTCGCAGACCACGTTGGTGCCGATGGGACGACCATTTGGGCTGCTGTAACATCAGGGAAAGAAACGGTGACGATTCATTTACTCGCCTGTATGCTTGCACGTATATGGAACCGAGAACAATCACTGTCCATCTGGAGCGAGTTGGTTGAACAGAGAAAGAAACGTCTGCAGGACCTAGTTGCGGGGCCCGAAGTTGCTCTTAATGTTTCTGACCTTACCGCATCTCGCGTCGAAATCACCAAATCTCAGATTGACGAATGGGATAGAGGTGCCAGGTAAGTATTTGCCACTTTCGTTCTACCAGTCAGTGACTATCTCTGACAGATCATAGGACATGGTTACAAGCCGCTGATACAGCCAAGATGCTCCAACAGACACAATTTAGGCTCCTGACTGACAATATATCACTCCCAGTCTCAGGCAAACCGGTCGTTCTAGACGCCGTCTTAGAGGCCTGGACGAAGGCACTACAAGCATTAGAGAGCCTGATCAAAGGCGAGGCCCTGCAGGTCAATGACGGAGCCGTACTTTTGGGGCTGTCAGCGTGGCACATCTACCCGGATATAGTCCTGGCTGGGACTAATGAGTATATAAAGCAAGGAGACGAGTTGGTCCACCCAGGAGGTATCGTCACTCTAGGTCTCACCAACAGAAAGAGTACCGATAAAGGTGTGTTCTGATCCCTTCCTCTGGCCCATGTGAGATATTATGGGGGTACCGAGATAGCGAAACGCCACGCCGGGGTAAGGGAGTCACAAGTCAGCTTTGAAGAGTTCATGTTTGTCGTGATCGGTAGTATTCTGAGCGGGTGGGATGCCCAAGACCTTGACCTGAGTGCCCAACTGGGTTTGATTCGAGCTTTCGGCAAAGCAGTCCGTCACGACGTTCAAGACAACGAACTGCCACCCGTGCGCGGGATCTATAGCGTGTTGACAAACCTATCCTCCCTTGTAGGTCGGTATGCAAAAGCTAAGGACGTATATAAGCAGCAGATCACGCGACTCATAGCCTTTGGTAGACGGCGATGCTCCAACTTCCTTGCTCCACCATCACCACCATCACAACTCCTATTACCAGCGTTCGGCTTAGTTAAATTCACTACACTCATGGGTACCTTCAAAAAAAAAAAACACGAGGGCAGAATTAGACTTCTCCGAGGTTGGGCAGAGAGAGAAATGTTGCCTGACTTCACATCTTGTGCTATCATACGCTATAGTACGGACGATTACAATTACTTTAAATTTACCAACATAGGTGATCAGGAGCTCCGCTCCCCAAAAAGACAGAAAACCGAAGCGTTTCACAGCACAGCTCCCGCCACAGAATTTTTGTATCTTCATTGGATAGAAGATAGTGACAGAGTGCGTAATACCTTAGAAGAACTTTTGGAGGTAGACGTGACTGAAGAGGATGTATTATTAATACCTCCTGGACCTGGGCAAAAGCCTCAGCCTTACAAATTCTTCTGCGGGGATTCTCGCCTCGCAGCAATTTATGTCCCAGCAGAGAGAAAGTTTCCTAGGAAAGATTGCATGAGTGTCTCTCAGCTTATTCGTTGTGTTCAACACGGTGACCTCCCCTTGCCCCAAATCTCCATCGCTCTACGCGTGATGGCAAGTTCTCCACCATATCAACCTTATGTCGACTCACTCGAGGCTATTGGGACGGCAGAAAGCATCTATTCGAAACTCCCGGGTGCAAAAGTCGATCTCCAAGTAACATCCAAGAGAGTCAGCGAAGCAAATGGTGGAGGGAGATTCAATCGCGGAAAGCATGTACTTTGCAGGCCATTTTCAGTTGCATTGCTTACTTTGAAACTGGAATATTTGACGCAGATCCCGAAACGGTCGGAAAACACACTTTCGCATTATGCCATGGAACATCGATATTCGTCGCAAGCAGTCTGCTAACAGACCCAATCGATAAAGTCCCAATCATTCCTGTCGAAAGGATAGTCGGTAACATTGGCAAACCGGGATTGGCTTTCTTGATCAGCCCTTCAACACCCCAAGTACGAAAGGTTGATTACTCCAGTTGGCACGCAATTTCTCATTCACCTTTCGATGGAGCAGCCCAGGACAATTTCCCGGCTACATCATTCCACCTCTCATTTACTGGATATGAACAAGCCATGTATTTTAAAAGGCAAAGTGGCCGAGATGCACCCGCTCACTTGATAGAAACGGCGATATCGGTATATGATAAGGGGAAATGGGTTTCGGACCTAGACATAATCAAGGCTTCCGGATGCTGGGTAAAAAGCGTCATGTATGACTGCCAGCATTCCGATGAAGAGAAAGCAGATAGGTCTTCTCTTGGGCCAATAGTAACTGTGGATTGTTGGGAGGAACTTCTAGATCCCCCAATCGAGAATGCCATCGTCCGCAGCCACAAAAATTGGACGGCTCGCTTGGCTACAGCAGCCCTTGCTGTTCAAATGGGTCTACATGTTATGATTCTGCCCTCAAAACAATGCTGGAAATGCCTGCATATCGAAGCCGCTTCTCAAAGTAACATACTCCAATACCACAATATGGATGAAGATGAGGAGGGGGTTTGTTGCTCTGATAGTGAAGATGGAGGAGGAAATTCTGGCTCGGAAACCTATTATGATATACATGATAGTCTAGATGGTTACGAAAGGGACATCTACTCGTTTACACTCCGAGCTCCGAAAGCTTCTAATGAGGAACGAGTGAAGCCGAGAGCTATCTTGATATATTGATATAGACACAAACTCTGGTATGACAGATCTATATAGTTTTGGCGAGTCTTCTGGGACCAAGGGGATGATGGCGACGACAACGCAATCTCGGAACAGTTAGCTCCTGAGTGGGTTTTGTCTTTAAGCTATAATCTCCTATTTTAATTTGAGCATCTTGGGGGCGTCGTATAGGTAATCGAATACATATTATATTACTTAGCTGTTCCTAGCAAGGGCTTATAAGTAATAGCGACAACGAAGTTTAATATTGAAGACTGCTGCCAAAGGACACGAAGCCATTGCCGAACTGCTGCCTTAATAGTTCTTTGCTTATATCAAATTGTTCAAGACTAAATTTGAAAAAAAAGAGAAGCTCGTGACTTGTCAGACTTCAAAGTTTCAAAAAATTGGACGAGCAGGGAGTCGAACCCTGGGCTTCTCGCAAACCTTACATTGTAAGATCTTACATCGGTGCAAAGCGAGCACTCTACCACTGAGTTACACGCCCTTTGGATGGGTGGAATCTGCCGAACTCCACCAGTATAAAGTGAGCCGGCATCATTGGCCGGCTTCCGATGAGGGGGTCTCTTTCAAAGTACGTCTATATATCCATTTTGTACCCGCCTCGTGTTGTGGTTGGTTGAAGATGATGATAGCGTGTGCTGGGTATGGATGCGCTATTACTTTAGCACCCTACCACCTAGGCCAGACCTAGGCAGCTAGGTAGGGCGTTCAATTCCAGCAGCGTATAGTGGATATCACGAGATTTCATTGGCTAGAAACGAGACTAGGTGTGCTATGCGGGCGCCTTGCTGTGTTAAGCGTATGCTTCCATTGTTCTAGAATGTGACAGTGATAACTGTTTTACTGGAGTTTTAGGAAGCTTATTATGAAATCACAAAGTCCGCCGTCTTCTACTGTATCTGACAAAACTTTCATAGATGTCAAGAAGGTGATTCAATGGACTGCCCATTAACGAGAGAAAACCAAAACCCAAGCTGTTATGATGGTAACATAGCGATTGACACTTGAGAGGAATTCTTAAGCCCTATTTGGGGGCCACAGCTATGGGCTCGAATCCTAGACTTGGTTGAGATTTTTTTTTTTCACTATACTCACTATCATCACGAGCTAACCCAGTAACTTCAGCTGTCGAACCGTTTTCTCTAGAACCTCCAGCTAGCTAGCTAGAGAGTTATTAGTAGGTACATACTTATACAAGAAGCTAGCTGAGCCTCAACCCCGCAGCAATCTTAAGATCGCCGGGAACCAGCTGTCTGGAATAGAAAAAATACGCGGAAAGCGTTCGCTTAGAGGCCAACAGCTACGGCGGAGCAGCAGCGCCGCAGCGTGGCATGTGATAGAAGCTGGTAGTACAGCATTGCTTTTCGCAAATCGTAAATCGCCTTAGGCGCGCGTTCTAAATGCGGTATCGGAAGGCAGCCTAGCCGCGATAGTAATGTGCATCCCGTTATGAAGGGAGTGAGGATTGCGACTCGCGCTCCTGCACGATTCTCGCCCGTAGCCGCGGGAATATAGCGGCCGGCCTTCATAATAGACCAGACGTCGGTTCATAGAAGGTATATCGGGCTGTTGTGGCAGGTCAGTTATGCCAATAATTAAGAGGACCACCAAGAGGGACTATACGAGCTTTTGAAATGTTTCAAAACATACCTAGCAAGGAGGGCTGCATCCACACTGAAGGGTACGGCGATTGCATTCTAGATGCCGTCCCCCAACTTCTGCGAGATGTGTGCCGGAAGGAAGAGGCGTAGTCACATTGCTGCATGCGCTTAATACCGCGGAAGGCCTTGGACAGGTTTGTGTCTACGGTGGTTCTTCGCACGTGGTGATCCAAACCCCTAGATACTGAGATGGGGGCATGTAAGGGGTTGTATACGATGAGAATGGTGATTCTATTCTGGGATACATGTGAACCAGTGATGCCAAGAGAACATTGGTCGTGGCTTGGTCTCCCTGAATTGTTGTTTGTACACACTTCGATGCATGATGCACACGACGGGTAAGCAAACGACGACGAGTATTTCCTAAATAGATGTTGATGGAAGATACGATATCAACCTTCAACATCTAACCTACCTATATCGCAAACCTCGTCGTCGTACCAACTTCGTACTTAGTAGATAACAACACAGCCTCGAGTATTCGACCTATTCTTAGAACGCATTTCGGGTCCTCATGCCGACCCCACAACTTGATAGGTTCATCCCTCTCATATCTTACTGTAAGATTTCCAGGCAACCTTCCCATCGGAGATAGCTGACTGTCCTATGAGGCGAGCTATGCTTATGCACCAATCAGCTTCGACCCCCGTTCAAATTCAGGATCTTCCTCTACGGCTGAAATGAACTGGTGAGGAACATCATTGCCTTTTCGTTCAAGCCTGTCCCGATCCGGATGCACATGCTGACATGATCCTTGAGACGGCTATGGGTACTGGAACCAAACTCTCACGCGACAACGTTGACGTCGTCCATAGTAAGCTACTCATGGGTCAGTACTAAGTAGAACGCGGAGGGTAGGTACCTGGTTCACTGATTTTGGAGTTGGGAACGAACCGCGCCTCACGCGGGCACGTGGTCTTGGTAGCGAGGAAGCTGACAGAAGCTCATCCTCTCTGAAGAAGAGGTTAGCACTAAAAAACATAGCCAAGATAGCTAGGAGTCCATGTGCTATGCAGGGAAGATATTTTAAGATAATCCTTAGAAAAGTACATATATAGTAGGCAACTTCCGCTAAAGGTTGGTGATGCCCTACAACCATTGCAGGGGAATGTTTCCGATTTATACAAAGTAGCGTCAGCAACGCGTACCTACCTCTTCTGGTAACCAGCTTGGCGATTTACCAAGACGAAGCTACTCGGAGTCAATTGTTCGATGAAGGGAAATACCGCATAGGAAATCCATGATCCGATAATTATCTGGCCTGATTTCTGGTGAATTGAGGACATATTGTCGAAGTCATCTCCGGTTCATTAAGTGGCTGGCAGATGTCTCGATCTCGGACCACAGCAATCTTAGTTAATAAGCTAGAGTCCTAGACAACGCAAGGTCTGCGCTATGATCTCGGAATGAGAATGTTCATCTTTCGAGAATCGACAAATTGATATATTGCTTTTGTTCGGCCGCTACAGGGGACTGATTCCGTCGTCGTGGTATGGAATCAGCTGATTTTATTGATTACGACGTACAGCGTTGAATGTTGAAAAAGTTGTTGAAAGATGAGAGAATCAAGAAACCAAGCCTGCTAGAACGTAAGCTCCAGGGCTGGCAGCTAGGGTAAACGTCAGGCAGGTCCAGGGCTCGCGGGATGCATTTTTAGAAACGCGATTAGGATTAAGGTTATGGAGTCCGATCTAGTCTAGATACGGGTTAGCCGAGCTTGATGCTTGAATGGGAAAGAGAATAACGACTTATCTGGACATAATTGGCTGTTTCAAAACGACGGAGAACCTAACGGATCGCAAAGTGACGCCATTGAAACTAAAACTGTCAAACATCCTTGAAGTTCGGTACCTGGGTACCCACCACGATACACAGGACCACAGGTAGAAATTGCGATAAGACAATTGCAGTTTAGACGAACACCACAAACCACAACCTTGGAAGTCTCCTACTACTCAAATTTTTTTTCATAAGATGTGTACGTGTATTCTTAGAAACCCGAGACGATAGTCTAGATCGAGCTCCGATAATGCACATGCGTGTTTCTCGCTCAAACGGAGGATGATGCAAGGCAAGGCGTGACAAGACAGCGCCGATCAGATTGATGCAGCATTCAGACATTCAGGCTATTTGACCTACAGCATTGTTAAACCGGTCTCTCGGCAAGGCGAATTGGGGAAACGTCTAATGTTAAACAATATCGCACAGAGGTTTTTAGTTGGTACTAGATAGTTCATGCACAGTTAGATGGTGTTCGGACCTGATCGACCATCGGAAACGTGTAAGAGCAGAGCAGATCAGACGGCGAACAGGGTGAGCAGGGTGAGCCAAACAAATCTGACAAATGCACTACTCTCTCTAGCACGGGATTCGAGTGACATCGTTTCAATAACTCAAATGTCGAGTCAAGGTGCTTGTTCAAGGTGCTTAGGATCCGCTGCAGGTCATTACCTAGTCTCATCGACGGTCATAGCAAGCCAAACTACCAATATCGCTGGATCGCTCGAGGAAAATCTTTAGAAGCCTCGATCGAAATTACCAACTTAATCCAGTAGGTACGGGGGCGAGCCCGGGGAAGAGGATTCAAAATCGTATTCGAAGGATGCGTATCATTTGGGGGTGGATAGGTAGGTAACGATGGGGGTTGTCCTCGGAGGGGGGGTGATGGATTACGTCCTTCGCACCTGGGCACATTGACATATCAACGACAGGTTAATCGAAGGTCTCGCGATAGATTAGGGGGGAGGAACAAAATTTGTCTATAGGGGTTGATCTAGGTAACTATATGGTCTACCTAGTACGTATATGGTAGATTTCGCCCCATCGAGTGGTCAGGATATAGGTCGTGCTTCGCGAATGGGTTTAACGCTAACCAGTATACGAATGATAATGGTGGTGATGAATTGTCGAAGAAGTTAGCAGCATTCAAACGGCCTGAATGGCTAGCCTCTTGCAGAATCTCGGTGGTGGTCAAGCGGACCGAACTGGGTCGGGAAAGCCAATCAGTTGACGACAACCACCATCCGCGCTGCATCAGAGTTGTAGTCTCTAATGCAGTAGTGGTAGTCCCTAGTAAAATCTCCCTGATGCGGGATGTGTAGCCAGGATTCTGGTTGGCTGTTTTGGACTCTTGAATTTTTACTATCCCTTCTTTTACGTCGCACCTGACTGCTCTTACATTTTGATCACCCTTCTCCTGAATCTTATAGACGAATTGGTGAGATTTACCTATGTGAGAAGTATACCGGCTACGAAATCGAGATCTCTAGATGCATCTTAGAGTTGTAGTTTGATTCATTTTTTACTACTAATTGTGAAGGAATATAAGCTAGGTATTAGGGAGGTCATTACTAACCTTGTGCCTTGTTACCTGCCTTATTCGACCTGTCAATCGCTTGAATGCCTCGGCGGTAGTCGGCGGTAATGCAGATCTCTACCTATGTATAGTATGTAATACAGTATGTACGAATCCATATACTAGTGCGTGTATACTGCGGAGGCTGCGGAGGCTGCAGAGACAGGTGTGTAGTATCAACTGTCTGCATTATACACGATGTCTTGGGGGTTCGGTCTAGAGTTGAACGATGAAGCCAGCTGGCCATTCGTAACGCATAAACGCCGCGTAAGAATAGGTATCCACCAGCGATTGTTTGTTCGTATGCGTTTGTCAATTCTAGTATCGAGGCTCTCTTTATTCTAGACTTTCATTGCATTAAATCTATCCAGGTAGTCCTAGGTATCTAGGACCTAGGAGGACCTGGGTACCTATAGGCAGGCTGGCAGGTAATAGACAATAAAAGAACGGGTTCTTGTGACCCGCGGA